TTCTAATGTCTTACTCTCAGAGAGTTCGCCTTGGCCTTTGAGATCGACCTGAGCTCAATTTCCTCTCGCCCTGGGAAAGGCGGGAGCCCTGGGCTTGAGGATCCCTTGAGCTCAGAGCTCTCTCCTGGGACAGCATGCCAAACTCTTGAAGTGATGTTTAAAGGTGCCATAGAATAATAATCTGGAAATACCTAGACATACATTTTCAGTACATGCAAATGGCATAACTTGAACCTCAAACACCCTTGATTCCTCATTGTCATGTAAATCATGTGAGTGTAAAACTAAAACACTGACTCTAGAATCCACTTGGATGCACACTCCATTTCCACAACACTTCCTAGAGACATTACAATCATTAAAGCATTATAAAGCTCTCTCTTCCTTTTGTCTATATACTCAGTTAAATCAGACTTTTTCATTCAAGTGCCGATTTCTTTGGTTGTAAATTGACCTTTAAATTTTTATCCGGGGAGCGCGAAGGTCCCACAGAAGAGCTGGAGGAGAGCGTTTCGCTCTGGCTCCGCACCCTGACTCCTGAGAGGGGGCTTGGGGGCTGGGAGAAGGGAGACCGTCCCTCCAGTGCCCGAGAGCCGCTGGCGGAGCATGCAAGCCCTGCGAGCTGAGAGGCAGCGCGTCCCAGACTGGCGGGGCTTGAGCTGTCACATCCGGGGAAGGGAGAAAATGCTCTTTGATCGAAACTTTGGTGGCACTGAAAAGTACCGTTGGAATTTGGGCCCCGTCCTCCAGCGGGGAAAGAGCAAGACTCCTCTTCTCCGGATGGCCTGTCTCAGGGACGCTTCACGGTCCGTTTACCGGACTTAGTGGCGCCCTGGGCAGGAGGGGCTACCGGCTTTCGGCGTGCTCGACGGAGGCGGAGGCGGGGCATCGGCCGTTGGCGGGCGCCCTCGGCGAGGAGCAGCGGAGGTGGATGGCTCGGCCGGGGATGGAGCGGGCTTACGGCCCCGCCGATAGATGACTTTGCCCATCGCATCCGACTGCTCCTTCACGGCCTTAAACTCCTGGGTGAATTCACCCATGGATGTCGCCGAACAGGCCAGCCTGGGATATGGGCGCGTCAAGAAAGCGAACTTTGTCGACATCGCGCATATCTGCCAGGTTTAGCCAGAGGTGGCGTTCCTGGACCACAAGTGTGGACATCGTCCTCCCCAGTGCGCAGGCGGCGGACTTAGTGGTCCGGAGAGCATAGTCGGTCGCCGTACGCAGCTCGCGCCTCATACCCCCTGGCAGCTCCACCATCCAGGGTGGTGAGGGCGGAGGCGGACGCAGCGCGGGCAGAGAAAGGTGCCCTCCAGGACTGCATGAGCCTACTGTGCACTTCCGGGAAGAAGGGGACGAGAGACTTCGAAGGCTTCGCCTTCTGATCCTCTACGTAACACCCATCTAGTCGGTCTGGCCGCGGGGCTGGGGGATAAACCATCTCCAACCCGACGGCCGAAGCAGCCCGAGAAAGCACGGCCAACATGCCCGCTTCAGGATCCGTTTTGACGGCGCTCGCTTGCCCAGAGGGGGCGAGCGGGTCCGGATCATCGTCGGACAATGAAAGCCCACCCTCCGATGCCGCGGAGGACATCTGATCTCCGGTGTCAGCAAGCGTGAGAGCTACCATCTGATTAGACGGATCACTCCCAGTACCCGAAGCTTGGATGGAGCGCTTGGAGGAGCGAGAGGTCCGTGAGCCCGTGGGCGGCGGATTGTCTCTCGCTGAAGCCCTCAGATCTGCCCATACGCCCGCTGCAGAGCAGGAGGCAACTGGGGTGGCTCGCTCTCTTACGAAAACTAACCGCGATCTCAACTGCGCAACGGTCATGGCATCGCAGTGACGACATGAACCGCCCCCGAGCACCACATTATCATGCTGGACCCCCAAACATGTAATGCAGTGATCGTGTCCATCATCCGGAGCGAGGAAACCCCCTCAACCAGAAACGCACAGTCGGAGAGCCATCCTGAAAAGGACGTGCTGCACGACTGTGTTGCTCTTTTAGGAAGTGTGCAACAATACGCACCGCTCTTGGAGGACCGGACCCAAAGGGACGCCGGGCAAGGGAGATACCCAGCTCGACCGTCTGCCACTGTGTGGACTCGCTCTGGACCGGGATGCAATCGTTCTCTCGAAATGGCTGTAGATCAGCAGGAGGAACCCTCATAAGCTCGATCAGAAAAGGCTCTGAAGCGAAAAGGATAGCGTCTTCTGGCACCAGGCGCGCTTATATACTCAGTTGATTGCATATGCCGCACACCTGCGCAGGCTGGCGCTGCCAATTCATTCTTAATTGGCCCGTTCAATACTCTTTCAGACGAGTAGCTTCTGAACCGAACCTCCCATACGTGGATTTTAACATCAAATCCACTTATAGTGCTGGAGTTCCCCCCGAAGGGGAACTTCTACATACCTCACTTATGTAGCGTACAGTCCACAGATAAAATTTCTTATTGATTTTATCACGGTCTGGCTTTGGTCGACAGAACAGTTTTACGACTCTTGGCTCCAACAAGTCTGGATTTTTGTGACAGCTTAAGTTGTTCAGGGGGACTGGAGAGATAAGCAGGAAAACTTCAAAGACATTCCTGCCCAAATACACACACACACACACACCCACGAGGCTGTTCTGACAGAAAGAAAATGAACTCATCAAATCCTGAACCAGCACAAAACCAATGTGTTATGTTTTGTAAACTTTGTATCTCATTTCTGACTTTTCTTACCTGTGTAACCTCTCTTATAACCTGTATGCATGTTCCATTTAGGCCTTTGTAAAGCATAAATATTGTAAGGATATGAAAAATTAGGTTGATGTACTTTAAACCCCCCCATGTTTGGTACCGATGGGTTTCTGCTGACATTTGACAACACATGATGCATAGAGCAAGACCATAACTCGCATTGGTTTTTTCTTTAATCCCCTGTATTAAATGCCTGTCCGCATGCTTTAGGCGGACACTCAAATTTGCATACGAGAAGCCCCGAGACAAAGGAAGGTTCGCGCGCAAACTTTCCCCTGAAATCATTGGTCAGAATGATGCATGGGTTCCCGAAGGTGACCCGAAGGTATAAGCAGACCTTCTATCCAAACATCTGGGCAGAAAGAGAATGTCCCAAAAAGGAACATCATTGACGGTGGTCCCTTTAAGGGCCACACGGCTCTTCACAGCCGCATGGACTTTCCCGCCACGTTTTCTTTATTTTCCGGCAAAAGTAACTCAGTTTAAAGTTTGCGATCGTGTTCGTCCGAACTGCATTACAAACTCCACGTATCCCGAAGGACATCAAGTGTAGTTTTCATCACGACGGAAGAGAGACGCATAAGAGAGACCTCCACACATGAAAGACCAGGTGATTTTAGTCATGCGATTAAGCTGTGCCCCTTTTATCAAAAAGGTGTTTTTTTATAACCTTGGTGGTCCGTAACGGTGCGTGTGGAACTGAAAGTTTTGTCACTCTTTTATCTGAAATCTATATTTCCTAGCTTTACTATGTCTCTTTGCTGTTACACGTTCTATAGACCCGATATCTCCACGTGGTTTACCTTTGTTTTGTGTTTAATGTTTGTGCGTTCGTTTGTTCATTACGTCTGACTAGTCAATAAATTCCATTTATAATCAAATTAATTGTATTGTTTGCCTCACGAGAAAATGTCACTGAAATACAGATTCCCCTGCCTAGCTATTTTGTTTAAAACTTTTGAATGATTAATCTATTTCACAAGAAGTAGCAATTAAATTCCCTTTTTCTAAATGAATAGATTACCGTGTCCGCTCGGAAGAGCGGCGGCTTTGCTTGTGTTCGTTTGGTCAAATTAACAATAAATTGATCCGGAATATTAATGATTAACAATAATTCGTTATTGTTGATAATTAATATTCATAATCTGGGAATCCGCTCGGTCGTGCGAGCATGATCATATAGCTACAATCATATGTTTGTTTGACCAAACTGACTGAAGCTTAAGCCGGAGTATTAATAATTAAGAATAAACCGTTATTGTTGATTATTAATATTCATAAAATGAGCTAATTTCATGTTACACTTATTTTACCTTTTGTTATTTTCAACACAATCCTTTTGGACTAAAATGCTTTTATGAGAATTCATTAATTATCCAAAATAATCTCATTTATTAAGACCTCATCAAAACACCTTGTTTTGCTTTTTACATTGGAAATTTTTATATCTTTAAATGTACATATATGTAAACCCTTTTTAGCATATTCAAACAAGAAGTATTACCCTAAAGATTGATGTTTAACTCCTAGAATTTGTGCTTATTGCTTTGTATTTAATAGACCTGTTCGTTTTTATGTTTAAATTAACCTCTCTTTTCCTCTTATTTCTGTCATGCATTTGTTATATATTTTATTCATAATTCTCCCATATTGTTTAAAAAGGAACTACAGTTTGAAGAGACTGTATTCTGTTTTATTTGTAAATGTTTTGTTGTTATAAATAAAAATAACAAATATATATATATATATATATATATATATATATATATATATATATATATATATATATATATATGATGACGCCATGTGATCGGTCATCATGACTGCAGCAACTTTGAGTCCCGAAGTGTCCTGCTGTCCGTCTTGACGGCTCCGTTTTCAACTCCGCCCCCGCCTCACTCAGCTAATCTCGTTTATCACCGGCTGCAGCTGAGCTTCATGTCGAACGCACCTAAAGATAGTTGTGGAAAGCAAATGAGGAGATATATATATATATATATATATATATATATATATATATATATATATATATATATATATATATATATATATAGTGACTTGGGATCCTTTGATTGGAGGATCATGATTAGCTAATGTGAACCAGCTGGGTCAAACATGAGCCCATGCTCCTCTCGAAATTAGTTTAAAATTAAACATCACTTAGTTTCATCAGTATAACTAAAGGACTACAGATTCTTGACTTCTCTTGTTGTCGTTGTTGTCCTTTATGCTCATGTTGACTGTTCTCTCAGACTCTCCTCTCAGGAATCAATGGTGTGTTGCTGGCGTTCGCCATCCTTGAGTTCTTCATCTCCATCTGCCTATCTGTGTTTGCCTGTAAAGTCACCTGCTGCTGTAAGCCTAAGGTGAGAAATACATCAGCTGAACCCATCAGAGAAATGTAGGCATAAAGGATAAAGCTACTTTTAAGGCTTGAGCTTCTGAGGTTTCACAAGAACCAACAAACCCAATATCTGTCTGTAATTCTTCACTCTTAAATGTTCATACCCTTAAAGTCCATGTGAACCAGAAGTTGCTGCAGACTTTTATTTAAATATGATGACTTATTTATTAAATTCACCCTTGTCATTAAATAATGCGAAGACAATTGTCTGTTGAGGCGACAGCAACCGATCTCTTTCACCATGTAGTTAATGATGTCGGAGTAGTTAATGATCAATCAGCCTGTGATGATGACAGAATTGAAATCTGGATTTGATGCAGACCAGACAGAAACCAATTACATGTTTTTTTTTGTTTTGTTTAATTCATCCAATCTCTGTTCTACAAACCACATTACAACAATTTGTGATGTAAAAATCCACAAAACCTTTAATGTGTGCTGTAAACGTGTGAGGAACTAGGTAATGGAGCAATAATTGTTAAACACTGACCAATAACTTAAGCTGACCATGTTCATTTTATCCTGCAGATTCATGTGAGCAGCAACCCTTTAATTCAACGCCCTCCTGCAGAAACGCCCCAACAGTACAGTCAATGTCCTCAAGAAGTCCCTGAACCATGCTTTCAACATCCTCCTGCAGAAACTCCCCCAGCGTACACTGAAGGCAAATAAATGTGAATCAACATGAAAAACGGGGCAGAGCGGTGGATCTGCTGCTTTGATGCTGTGACTGTTCTAGTTTCCTTGTGTATCTGATCTGAATAAAGCACATCATCAGATTGTGTCAAATGGTTATTATAGTCATCAACATAGATACCGCTGTGCATTTTACATTTACCTATGTGTATTTCTCAAATGTTATTTGTTTGTATACTGATAAATTGGATTTGTTTTATGACTAGCACTGCCTGTGTCTTTCTCTGACTCAACACGAGTAACTGCAGGAAAGCAGATTGTGTTTAGCCGGTGATCACACCGGTGTGATTGTAGGAGTCAAAGGGTTAAATGTGTTTTTAACATTTTTTTTCTATGAGTCCTCTGCATACCACTAGAAGAAGCCTGTGTACCACTAGCAGTACATATACCACACTTTGAGAAATAAATCCTGTACATCCTAAAAACCTGAAAGAAAATCCCAACCCTTAATACAGAGGTGAGCAAACTATGATTTGTTTGCTAATCATAGTTTCAATAGGCATTCTAGAAACAAACGTGCAGGTGTGTTGAGGCAAGTTGGAGCTAAAATATGCAGAACACTGGCCTTCCAGAACTGAGTTTGGATTGTAAGGTCCAGCCAGTTAGTCCAATGACAGTGTCTAGTGGTGGATGAAGGTTCACTGCATGTTCGGCTTTTTTTAACGCACAATGTCGATATACTTTAAACTTAATTCATATCTGACTCCGATTTTAGTATGAGGTGGTTTAGAATAGTAATTAGTAATGGGTCGTTCATGAACGATTCGTTCATTTTGAACGAATCTTTAGTATGACTCTGGAACTACAAGTCCTCTTAAAGAGTGATTCGTTCATCCGTGCGTGCGCACATTTGTGCAGGTGGTATCGTTCATTTCAAGTCTTCATCACATTTCAAGTCGTTCATCGCGGAAATGCAGAAGCCATTCATACGCGTTTAGAACCGGAAAAAGAATTGATCCGTTTATCACTCGAGTCCTTTATCAGTCTGAGTCACTCGTTCCTCACGGGCCAATCATATGCAATAATTAATTCGTTCGTCTCTCGACTCCTCGGGTTTAAGTCATTCTGTCAAGTAATGAACGAACAATTCAAGAACCAGAAGACTTCAAAGGTGAACTAATTATCATGGCTCCTATCGGCTCAGACTGTGTACATTTGTTAAGATTATATGTGACTGTCAGTGTAACGTGAACGAACCCCTGGCATTTGAAGACATGAAGAGGTGAGCTGAGCAAAATGCCATCATAGACAAAACAGCAGGTAAACACTGAATTATTATGTTCTCCTTCTTATAGTATTCCATTTATGACTTATTTGTCCCGTGATCAACCTTTTGGGCTAGTTGTAGGCTAGCTAAGTGTGTTTGGAAGCAATTCGTAACATTTTAATAATATTTTGGCAAATTGGACCAAATGAACAAAATGACTCGAAAAAAGATTTGTTCATCTCGATGAACGAGACTCAAAGATCCGAGTCAGTAAAATGATCCGAACTTCCCATCACTAATAGTAATATTTATCTTCGTTTTATCTGACTAAAACATTGATAAAATTATGCTCATGTTGAATGTTCCCTCAGACGTTTTTCTCAGGAATCAGTGGTGTGTTGCTGGTGTTCGCCATCTTTGAGTTCTTCATCTCCCTCTCCCTATCTGCATTTGCCTGTAAAGTCACCTGCTCATATTATTCTCTGTTGAGAAATAAATCAGCTCAACCCATCAAATAGGCATAAAGGAAACAGCAACTTTACCTATTTTCTGTCGTGATAACTCTCAGAGAGATTTAGTATGATAACAATCATGTAAATAAACACATTACAACAGTTTTAGCACATCTATAATCAAAAACAATTTGTGAATGAACCAAGTAAAATTCCATAAAACCTTTAATGTGCACTGTAAATGTGGGAAGAACTGGGTAATATGCAGTGCTTAATTTGTGAATCGAGCAGTCCCGGAACAGATCGGAGTAACGCATCTGGCATGCTACCTGAGGATGTATAGGTGTCAAGCACTTAAGTCGGTTGTGGTAGCAGGGTGCTGGATAGCAGATAGGGGTGTCACGGATGTAGGTTAAGAGCCAGGGCGGGGATTGGTTGTCACGAATGTAAGTGAAGAGAGTTGGGGAGTCGCAGAAGAAAGTGAAAGTAAACAGATGTCGGATCTGGAGTGTTCCACCACAAATCAAGCCCTGGTAATATGACAATGCTTGTTGAATAAGCAACCAGTAACTTGTTGTAACCTTGTGTACAGTGAAGGCAAATAAATTTGAATCAACATGAAAAAACTGGGCTGAGTGGCAGTTCTGCTGCTTTAAAGATTCTAGTTATATTGCGTATCTGGTGTGCATAAAGTTTTGCTATTACCTATGTGTATTTAGAAAAAATATATAAATATGTTATTTATTTGTAAATACTGATAAATTTGATTTATGACTAGCTTTGCCTGTGTCTTTCTCTGGCTCAACACGAGTAACTGCAGGCAAGCAGATTTGGGTTAAGCTGCTGTTCGTGATGCAACTAAACGTGATCACACTGGTGTGATTGTAGGAGCCAAAGGGTTAAATGTGTTTTTAACATTCTTTTATTTCTATGATTCCTCTGCATACCACTAGAAGAAGCCTGTGTACCACCAGCAGTACATATACCACACCTTATTCTGTTGGTCAATCTTGATTGAGGTCATAGGTTGGCCACGTCCATTATGTTTTCACGTGATTGGACTGGGCATGGACTCCCTTCAGTGACAAGAGTGAGCAACAGGTCTTTATGTTAATCAGTTAACTGAGACTGTATAACTCTTATATTACCATCCACATTTCCCATTTGATAATGTAATGTCTGCTAGTATTAAACTCACTGTAGTCTGTAATAATGATGAATACTCTTGATCAACTAACATTAACTGTCAGCCATCTGTAGTGTATAGCTGCAAAGGGCAACGCAAGGCAAGTGTATTTTGGAAAATATACAATGATGTACCATTACCATGCCTGTAGATGATGAACAGGTGTACAGTAGAGCTACGTCCGAAACCGCATTCTTCCATATTATACAGTACGCTAAGACCAGCGAGCTGAGTAGTTTGTCTGAATTCATAGAATTTGAAAATCAGTTTGCGAGAAGTAACCGGATGACCTACTACTTCCTGCGAGAATCTGAAGTGCGCATCCCATTCATGCTGCACTATCCCATGCTGCCCCGCGAGTGAATTCATGAATTGGACTGAAGCAACGCAAGTGACGCAGGTAGGTCACGTGACCCTGACAAAATGCCAGATGTAGTGCGTTCCATTCAGACTTTTCACATTCATACTGTATAGAACATACTTTTATAACGGCAGAGTAGTACGTTTAAATTCAAATGCAGTACCTACTGAGTAGTAGCCGGTTTCAGACGCAACCTAGGTCTTCTAACAGACTGGTGAAGATGTAGTAGTGTGTGTATACTGTATAAAGAGTAGTGTTTTGAACTCAGCCCTATTTTCAGGTTCTTTTTATCTGGAGTCCACAGCTAAAAGGCAAAAGAGGTTACATATGCCACAAAGGATTATGACAGGTCTGAAAGCAAATGGGGGTTTAACATGGTACTAGTAAGGTATAACTAATAAATATATATATATATACAGTTGGAATTTCATGTTTATTTAATAAAAAGTTGAGAGAAGATTTTCTCCGATGTGAAAGTATTAGTAATTTATTATATCCAAAGGCATAATTCAATATACAGAGCTCTGGGTCCTCACAGATAAGTCCTATCAATTATACAATGCTATCCAAGGCTCATATCGAGCACGTAACGTTAGAAGCCCAATAAAGAGCAAATATATAGATGGAAAAAAACGAACCGAGAGCTTGAGGGAGAGGCTCTTTACCTGCGGCCATTCTGCAGAAAACTCCTCCTGCTTCCTGTTTCTTTCTGGGAAACACTGCGCTGGTGTAAAGTTACAGCAGAAGAGAAAGTCAAAGCACAGTTGAAGACGGGATTCTGCTTCAGGTAAGACAGTACGTTACATACTAAAATATACTTATTATATCTGTGTTTTCTAAAGTAATAATAATGGATGTGTTTCCTTTACTTGGTAACAAGTGGACCTTGAATGGCTTTTAAAATGTAGGTGATGTTGATCATTTTAAACTTGAGCTGTGATTTTTCCATTGATTAAACACTCGTGATCATTACACCTCTGTTCATTAAAAAAGTTTCTGTATTTTGTGTGTTTTTGTTGATTTCTGGTGGTGAATTGCATTATGGGATGTTGATCTCTGCTCTGACCACTTTTGATGTTGAAAATTCAACTCTACAGTTTAACAACGTGACTTTTAGGCTGCGTTCACACTGCAGGTCAATGTGGTCTGAATCTGATGATTTTGTCCACATGTGAGTCAGATCTGTTTTGGTCATTTGGCCGCATGGCATCTGACCTTTTCAATGCTGATTTGTGCCACTTTCATACGTGGTGTTAAATCTGGTGTTCTGCAATCGGACCGCAGTGTGAACGGGTATGCAGGAATTCATTTGACTTTTACATCATCTGTGATCGACACACGTCATTATTCTGTACTGGTTTGTGCTTTGGGGTGGCTCAGTGGTTAGTACTGTCACCTCACAGCAAGGTCACTGTTTTGATTTCCGGCTGGATCCAGATACTAATAAGCAAATCCATTGATGCGTAGCTCCACAAGTCCCGAACCAAGCAAACTTCACCAATTGACGAAAGTGAAGGGAAAGAAACTCGAGAGAATACAGGCTCAGTTGTGCACGACCATTGCTCATCTGGTCAATCTTCTCCACTCCTCCATGACCACCACGGCATCTGCTCAGGATACAGCCTGGTCTAGGATTATGGAAACCTTGGGAATGAGAAAAACAGACTAACATAAGTGCAGATGCCGATCAAACTATAATGTCTTTTAGGAAGTGTTCCTGGCTCCGGGTTGCCCTAAATAATGCACACTAACAATCCTTTAGAGGTTTTGGATTTCAACAGCATGTGTGTTTTATGTGCACGCTAATGCAGAGAGATGTGTTTTTAATCTAGATTTACACTGACAGAGTGTGTCTGCTTCCCGAACTGTGCTAGGAAGGCTGTTCCAGAGTTTAGGTGCCAGATATGAGAAAGATCTACCGCCTACAGTTTATGCTGATATTCTGGGAATAATCAATTGTCCAGAATTAATAGAACTTAAAGGACGTGAGGGGCTATTATAC